CTTGGCCATTCTAAATGCTATTATAAGCCCAGTCCTGGTGGCTCACACCAATAATCCTAGCTACTCAGGAGGCTGAGATCTGAGGATCACAATTGAAAGCCAGTCCAGGCAGGAAAAGTCTGAGACTCTTATCTCCAAACAGGCTCAGAGGCAGTGCCCAGGCCCCAGGACTAGCAAAACAAGTTAATTAATTAAATTTAAAAAGTAAGTAGTTATTGGCATCTTCATAGCCTTTTCATCTAAGTAAATGCTTTTTGTTGATTATGGACTTTTAACTGCAGCCTGGGCGCTGTCCCTGAGCTCTTTTGCTCAAAGCAAGCACTCTTCCACTTTGAACCACAGTACCACTTCGAGTTTTCTGGTGGTTAACCTGAGATAAAAGTCTCACAGAGGGGCTGGGAAGGTGGCTCAGTGGTAGAGCGCTTGCCTTGAACGCATGAGGCCCTGGGTTCGATTCCTCAGTACCACATAAGCAAAAAGCCGGAAGTGGTGCTGTGGCTCAAGTGGTAGAGTGCTAGCCTTGAGCTCAAGAGCTGAGGGACAGCGCCCAAGCCCAGAGTTCAGGCCCCACGACTGGACCCAAAAAATAAATAAATAAATAAATAAATAAAAATTAAAAAAAAGTCTCACAGAATTTCCTGTCTGGGCTGGGTTTGAACTGTCAACCTCAGATCTCAGCCTCCTGAGTAGCTAGGATTACAGGCATATGCCACTATCGCACTACAATATATCCTTAAAGAACATTATGTCCTTTAACATAGTTGAGCTCTGACTTTTTGTTTCCTTCTATGTAAAATGTGAATGTCCCCATCTTGCTTAGAGCCAAACAAACAAACAAAAACCCCTGGAGAATCTGACCTTAAAATGGCCAAAGTATTATATGCACAGATGAAAACAGAACAGTAAAACCTGTCAAAATTGTCTTTTAAGATGAAGACAGAGGCGGATGAGCGAGTGACAGAGGGTGTGAGGTGGGGGGGCGGAGGAGGGGGGTATTATTTTGCACACATGTGTGGAGATGTCACAATAATCCCCTCCTTGCACAACGGATGTACGCTATTTAAAAAAAAAATCTTTAAAATACTTGCACTTGAAGTGATGTCACCAGCCTGAGGAGAGGAGAGTCCCCAGCCCTTGGGCAACGTCTAGGCCTAGAGTCACAACCACCCAGGACTGGCAGAATGCGGCCTTCAGACCTTAGAATACGGGATATCTGCCATCCTTAGTAAATTTCCAAAACTAGCCTCTAGCTTGAGCTACACTAACTCTGGTTTTGCTGTTGTTTGGTTGTTTGGTTTCGAGGAGGAAGGGCTGCTTTCCCTGAGCCTCCAGCAGAATAAGGTCCAAAGCGCCAAATTCCTGGGAAATCACTCCAAAGAAGCCTCTTCCAGAAGGACCCTGGGGCCACACTTCCGGGGCCGTCCCAGGGGAATCCAACACCACCTTGGCAGGTCTTGCACAATAACAACCTACTTGTGTGCTGTGGAACATTGCTGCACAGTTACCTGGGCTTGTATTCATCATCTGATTATAAATGAACGCTATATAAACGGGTCCTTGCTGCTTTGGGTTTGATGGGACGATTGTTGTTTGTTTCTGGTTTTCTGTGGGGTGGTCTGAGTTTATTATTATTGTTATTATTATTGGGGGATTGGGGGGTTGCACTGGAATCTCTTTTTTGGGGGGTCCAGTCGTGGGGCCTGAACTGTGGGCCTGGGCACTATCCCTCAGCTCTTCAGCTCAAGGCAAGCACTCTACCACTTGAGCCACAGCACCACTTCCGGCTTTTTGCTTATGTGGTGCTGAGGAATCGAACCCAGGGCCTCAGGCATGCAAGGCAAGCGCTCTACCACTGAGCCACCTTCCCAGCCCCCTGCACTTAAACGCCTCTCTTCACTACAAAAACTTGTGTCTAGTATTCCCCTTCACTTTATTAAATTAAAAATAAGGAAAATTGCCGGGGAACTGGTAGGGCCCACATGAGAGCTGCCCAAGGAGACTGAGATCTGGGGATTGGAGTTTGAAGCCTGCCTAGGCAGGAAAATTCTCTATGAGACTCTTCTCTTAATACTAAACTCCAAAACGCCAGAAGTGGACAAGTGGCTCAAGTGGTAGAGCACTAGCCTGGGGGGGTGGGGGGGAGAAAAAGAGGGAGGGAGGGAGGGAAGGGAGGGAAGGAAAGGAAGGAAGGAAGGAAGGAAGGAAGGAAGGAAGGAAGGAAGGAAGGAAGGAAGGAAGGAAGGAAGGAAGGAAGGAAAGAAGGCACGCAAGCCCAATTAAAATCTAGTAGTCTGTTCTCAAACTTGGAGGCTAGAAGCTGACCTGTTTCTAGGAAGTGGGGGCTGAAGCTTGCTTTGGGGTTGTGTAGAGGTGCCCCTCCCCCCCCCCCCCCCCCCCCGCAATGTGTGTGCCTGTAAATCAGTTCATGTTTCCCATTTCAGACTATCTCCTGCAAGTAGGGATGGACCGTCACTCCAAGCCTGTGTTCCCTCCCTAACGCTTTCCGGCAGTCGGCCTGAAAGGTGGCTGGAAATCGGTGTAAGGACCCCCCCTCCTCCATCCACCCCCCTCCCCCTCCCCTACTCCCGATCTCCTACCTCTGCCTGGAAACCCAGCCCGGCGGCGCCCCGCCCCCACCCGAACTCCGCCCCGGGTCGGCAGCCGGGCGCGGCAAGGGCCGCGGCCGGTAGAGGGCAGACTTACTTTACTTTCGCAAACGCGAACGCGGGTATCGCCGGAGGAGGGGGGTGGGGTGGGCGGGAGAAAGAGGCTTGGCCGGGGAACCCAGCCCTCGGATTGGTCGGCTACGCCGGGGCGCTGCGAGGCCGCGAGGAGGCCCGGAGTCCAGAGCTAAAGCTCCCCGCTGCCCAGCGCCGCGAGCTCGGTGGGAGCGAGGCTGCTCGGGAACGCGGGGCTGCGGCCGGGAGGGGTGACCCGGCGCGGGCTTGCGCCTCCCGAGGGTGCTCGTGCGTTTCCTTTTGTGTTAAGGAAGGGGTCCAGAGGAGACGGTTAAACACCTTTGGACGGAGGAGCCTGGATGGGAGCGCGCTGGCGGCTGCTGGTGTTAACTGTCCAGAATAACATAAAGCCTCAGACCCTGAGAGATTGGGCAGTGGGGAGCGAATTGCAGATCCGTGCAGGGGGCGAAGCAACGCCTGCTTCCGGCTGCCGTGGAAGGGGTTCGCTTTGGAGCGGGTGGGGGGTGTGCTCGCGCGTGCAGATTGCCCACGGTGCGCTTCACTGCGGGACCCCAGACAGCATCACGCACCCGGGGCTGGGCCCCGGGGACCTTCCCTCCCAGGAAACCCCACCGGAAAGGAGACCCCTCCTCCTCCTCCTCTGATGAGATCAATGAACGCGTTTATTCATTAGTGCGTTACCTTCCGTTTGCATCTGAAAGATGTCAGTTTATGAACACGTCCGTAATAAAAGGGAAAAGAAGACTCGGAAAGAAATCAAAGGTCGGGGAGGAAAGAGTTAACGGTTTTCTTCACGAAAAGTCTCCGGTGGACTCCCCCGGGGCCGGCTTTTCAAGCTCTCCTCCCGCCCATGGGTGCGAAGTCGGGTCTCGGGGTTCGGGCTCCCCAAGTACCTCCAGTGCTCTCCCGGGTGGGTAGCGAGCGGGCGCCTTCGGTTCGCGCCCCGCCCCAGACCCCGCAGGGCGGCACTGGTGGGGTCACCCGCGCCGCCAGGGGCTGGCAGCCGGCGGAGGAGGCGGGAGGGACCTCGCCCAGGAGGCTGGGGTGGGCTGAAGTCGGGTACGGACCTCCCTCCCCACCCCCAGGGGCGGGCACCCCCTCCCCCAGCTCGAGAGGCTGCGGGGAGCTGTGCGGGATCGGCGCGTCCGGGGTCCGCGCAGGGCGGTGGCGGTGTCAGCTCCTTTGCCAACAAACGGAGGGGAGGGGGCTGATTCGGAGTCGAACGTGTCCGATCAGACAGCTGCCCAAGTAGACTATCACACACACACACTCACACCACGAAATATAGCGGGTGTTCCTTCCCAAAGCGCCTTCCAAGTATACGTGGCATTGAACTGCAGCGTGATTTTAACCCCCGGCCATCCTTTCCTTCCCCACCCCTCCCCGCCCCGGCCACGCACTGGGCGCGGGGCTCCCCAATCCCCCTTCCTTCCCCCTTTCCTCGCGGCACTGAGGCTCCGAACGCCTCTCTTCTCGCTGCCCGGGAGAGCGCGCCTGGCGATCCGGGAGGGGAGGGCGCGCGCCGTGGGGCAGGGGACGGGGCAGCGGCTCCACCTGCAATGCTGGACACGCACGCACACACATACGCGCGCAGGCAGCCTGATCCCCACGCCGCGCCCGCGCAGGAGCGGAGAAAGGGAAAGCCCGAGCAGGATGGTAGGCGCGCACAGTTAATTCATCCGGAGCTCCGCGTACGGTGTTTACATCCGAGCCGAGGAGCGCCGGGCTCGCCGGGCCGAGTCTCCTCCCCCTTTCCCCGGCTCTCCACCAGCGCCCCTCCCGCTTCCCAAAGCAGAGGGCAGGGCCCACAGAAAGATTTTTTTTTTCTTACACATCCACGCCCACCCACGGCCCTTTATAATCGCCGGGTCCGCGCGGCCGAGGACCCCCGCCCCGCGCTGCGCGCCGCCCGCCGCCCGAGCCCGCTGCGCCACGGCGGCCCGCCGCCCGGCTCTCCCCTCCGCGCCCCCCTTCCTCCTCCTCCTCACCCCCGCCTCCGAGAAGGGCAGGGCGTTGCAGAGGCTTGGCGGGAAAAAGCCCAGGGGCGGGATCTGAGAGGCGGTATAAAAGCGGCTTTTGGGGGCTTTTTCATCCGACTCGCTGTAGTAATTCCAGCGAGAGGCAGAGGGAGCGAGCGGGCGCGCCCGCCTGGGTGGAAGGAAGGAGGGAGTGAGAACCGGCGCGCTCCGCGGCGTCCTGGGAAGGCAGATCCAGAGTGAAGGGGGGGAACTTCGCCCGCGGCCCCCGCCGCCAGACCCTGCACCCCCCGCGGCCCACCGCCCTCGCCACAGCCGCGTAACTTTGCCGGGTTTCTGCGGCCGGACTGTGCTCTGGAACTTACAACCTCCCCAGCCAGGACACCACTCTCCCGGACGCGGGGAGGAGAAGACTGCTGCTGCCCATTCGGAGGGACCACTTTTCCTCGCCTTTACCCCAAGACCCGCTTCCCCCCATCTCCTCCCCGGAGAGCCTCGTCTCCGCAGCTGGGGGTGGAAGGCTGGATTTCCTTCGAGTGGTGGAAGACCCGGTAAGCACCCTGCTCGCTGCGTCTCTTCGTGCGTTCTCTCCCCGGGTTCAATGCTGCGGCTAATCGAGTGTCCGAGTCGGGGTCGTCTTCTCTCCCCTCCCTGCGCTAAGCTCTTGGCACTTTTCTTCGGAGTAGTTGAGGGGTTGGAGGTCGGGGGGGTGAGGGAAGATCGGGGGTCGGGGTTGGGTGACTTGTCAAGGTGAGAGGGGGGGAAAGGGAAAGGAGAATCGGGGGGTGCCCTTGGAAACTGGGCTTCAGAGGGATTTTTGCGTCTTTTTTTCTAGTACGTACGCTCGTTCCCGCCGGGTTGGATATGACTGCGTTATTGCAGTCATTGCTGTGGGGGTCTTTTTGGGGGGGGAGCAGGGGGGCGGACATCTGCTTCGCAGTGGCCAGAAAAAGCCCCTGACAACCCGGGCTCCTGGATGAAGAAGGGGCTCCGCCACTGCGTGCGAGCGAGGCGCCCGAGCCGCGGTCCCCCGTCCCCGGGAGGACCTTTAAATTTCGGCTTTGCGCATTTCTGACAGCCGGAGACAGACACTGCGGCGCGTCCCGCCCGCCGCCCCCCAGACTGGTTCTCAGCAGAAGTTGAACGCTGGCTTTGAGAAATACAGTGATCATTGTAGAATTTAAAAACCTGATCGCGTTGGTGAAGACTTGGTGCGGGCAGTAGCGCCGGGGAGGAGGAAAGGCGAGGCTGGGAGGGAGTCGGGGGGTGGAGGATCCCTCCGGTTGACTTAGGGGTGGCCAGAGCAGATCTCCCACTCGGCCTTGACTCCCTCTCGCTGCGATCGCGGGTGTCCCTGCGCCTCCTCTCCCCCCCTCCCTCCCTCCCCACGAGATGAAGGGGGGACGGGCGGGGAGCCGAGCTCCGGGGCTATTCGGGAACAGCTGCTACCCGCGGCTGGGCGGCGGAGGACGACGCCCCCGCTCGGGGCGCTGAATCGCCGCAGGGTCTCCAGCGCCGCCACGGCGTCGAGTGTGTAAAGGGAGGTGTCCCCGGCATGATTATTCAGCACCCCCTTTCTATTTGATGGAGGAGATGTGTTCGATTCCTGCCCCACACACACATACCCTGAGATCAGAGCTCGCCAAGTCCCCCCCCTCCCAGCCATCTCCGAGAGAGAAAGAAGCCGGCGGAGGAAGGAAAGGGGGGGCGTGCTGGGGGTGGGGATGGAGGAGGCGGGGAAGGGCGGCGGCGCCGGCGGGGGCAGCCGCGCGCGGCGAGGGCGCGAGTGGGGCCGGGTGCGGCGGCGGCGCGGAGCCGGTGCGGGAGGGGAGGCAGGGGGGCGCGCGCGCGCGCCGGGGCGCCGCTCTCCCCTTTCTCCTTCAGGTGGCGCAAAACTTTGCGCCTTCGCTTTGGGCAGATCGCCGTCTTTCCCCGCCGCCGCCGCCTCGGAAACGGGCCGAGGCCCCTGTGGATCACCGCGGAGCTCGGCTCCCCGACTGCGCCCGCAGAGCGCCAATGAGGGCGGGGACTCGGCGGGCGCCGCACAGCTGGCTTGCCAAGTGCGTGCCAAGCTAGTAGTAGTAGTAATAGGGAGTCGCCTAAAGAGAGGAAAAGGGGGGGAGTGTCCCCCGACCCGGCGTCGTCTCGGGAGAAGCAGGGTTCGGGGTCGTGCTGCGCGCTGCTGTGTTGGGGTTTGCACACCCACAAGAACCACTTAACTCAAAAATATCCCCCCCCTTTGTGCTCTTTCTGCCCCCCCAAAAAACAACCACCACCACAACAGGCCTCCGCGACCATGCCTCTGAACATCAGCTTCTCCAGCAGGAACTACGACCTGGACTACGACTCGGTGCAGCCGTATTTCTATTGCGACGAGGAGGAGAACTTTTACCACCACCAGCAGCAGAGCGAGCTGCAGCCGCCCGCGCCCAGCGAGGATATCTGGAAGAAATTCGAGCTGCTGCCCACCCCGCCCCTGTCCCCGAGCCGCCGCTCCTACGTGGCCGTCGCGTCCTTCTCCCCCCGGGGAGACGATGACGGCGGCGGCGGCAGCTTCTCCACGGCCGATCAGCTGGAGATGGTCACCGAGCTGCTGGGTGGAGATATGGTGAACCAGAGCTTCATCTGCGACCCGGACGATGAGACCTTCATCAAGAACATTATCATCCAGGACTGCATGTGGAGCGGCTTCTCGGCGGCGGCCAAGCTGGTGTCCGAGAAGCTGGCGTCCTACCAGGCTGCGCGCAAAGACAGCGGCGGCGCGAGCCCCGCCCGTGGCCACGGTCCGGGCGGCGCGGGCGGCGGCGGCGGCGGCGGCTGTTCCTCCAGCCTCTACCTGCAGGACCTGAGCGCCGCCGCGTCCGAGTGCATCGACCCCTCGGTCGTCTTCCCCTACCCGCTCAACGACGGCAGCTCGCCCAAGCCCTGCGCCTCGCCCGACTCCAGCGCCTTCTCCTCGTCCTCCGACTCTCTGCTGTCCTCCACCGAGTCCTCCCCGCGGGCCAGCCCCGAACCCCTGATGCTACCCGAGGACACGCCGCCCACCACGAGCAGCGACTCTGGTAAGCCGAGCCTCCCACCCCACCACCACCACCAGGACACCCGGCTTGGGGGGGGGGGGGGATAGGGTAACCAGGACATCTTCGCCTGTGCGCATGGGCGCCTAAATCCAGCGCCACTTGGTCCCCAGACCTGCCTTGCTCTGGTCTCCAGTTTGGAAGGCGAAATGGTGCATCTTGGGAGCTCTCTCCATCTTTGGACCCCTGAGCAGTTAGTCTCCCCTTCCCTCCCTTCTCATCCCCGCTCCCCCCTCAGTCCTTCCCACCCCTCAGGAGTTTCATCTGGGTTCTTTACTCTCCTGGCAACTCAGTCCACTCCCTCCTGACTCTCTAAAGCATTATAATTGCTCTAAGGGGCGGGGGATGGGAAGGGGAAGAGATGAGCTGCAGGTATACATGAATGGAATTACCTCCCTCTTACCTTCACTTCCGAAAGGAAAAAGGTAGGAATTTCAGAGGCTGGGCCTCTCCAGCCCTGAAGAAAAGCTTTTGACCCAGCCCAGGGTCTAGTGAAAGTGCCTGGAGATTTGAGGGGCAGAGCCACTGCCTTCCCCCCCCCCCAACCTCCACCCCTTCCAGCCTGTTTTGAATGCTTCAAAGCAAATCCTGGCCAAATTGGACTGCTTCCCCTTTTTCTTTTTCTTTTTTTGCCCTTCCAATAAAATAAGGAGTTACTGAAGTCATACCAGATTCATAGCACTCCTTTACAGCACCTGAAGGATTTTGGTAAAGTCCCTTCAAGATGGGAGGTGCTTGGGAATGTGTTTGCTTTGGGTGTGTCCAAAGCCTCTTTAAGTCTTAGGTAAGAGCTGGCATCTTTGCCAATTTACCAGTGCCATAACCCAGCTGCCCTTCTCCCGCCTTCCTGAGGAGAAGCAGGGAAGAGTTGGCAGGATTCGATCCAAGTCCTTTTCCAACCGACTTAAGTAACTTTATATTTGCATAGCAGCAATTTAATCTGGCCTTTGACTGGCTTTAAGGAAATGTTCACTGATTGCCATTTTCTTTTCTTAAAGAGGAGGAACCAGAGGATGAGGAAGAAATCGACGTTGTCTCTGTGGAAAAGAGGCAGTCCTCCACCAAAAGGTCAGAGTCAGGGTCATCCCCTGCTGGGGGCCACAGCAGGCCTCCTCACAGCCCGCTGGTCCTCAAGAGGTGTCACGTCTCCACTCACCAGCACAACTATGCTGCACCCCCCTCCACCAGGAAGGACTACCCTGCGATCAAGAAGGCCAAGTTGGACAGTGGTAGAGTCCTGAAACAGATCAGCAACAACCGGAAATGTGCCAGCCCCAGGTCCTCAGACACAGAAGAGAATGACAAGAGGCGGACACACAACGTGTTAGAACGCCAGAGGAGAAATGAGTTGAAACGGAGCTTTTTTGCCCTGCGCGATCAGATCCCAGAGTTGGAAAATAATGAGAAAGCCCCCAAGGTAGTTATCCTGAAAAAAGCCACCACGTACATCTTGTCCATCCAGGTAGAGGAACAGAAGCTTGCTTCAGAAAAGGACTTACTGAGGAAGAGACGAGAACAGTTGAAACACAAACTCGAACAGCTGCGGAACTCTTGTGCATAAACATGTTGGACCGATGGGAGGGAGGGACTGGAATTGTGTGTATTCTCACTCCTTACTAAGGAAAAGAAAGATATTACTTCCAGAGGGGGGGAAAAACTGCAGCGACTCTTTATGTTTAAAAGAACTTGTTTCAAAGATGCATGATCAAATGCAACCTCACAACCTTGGCTGGATCTTGAGACTGTAAGGTTTAGCCATAATATAAACTGCCTCAAATGGGACTTTGGGCATAAAAAAAAAAACAAAAAACAAAAAAAAACTTTTTTTTATGCTTACCATCTTTTTTTTTCCTTTAACAGATTTGTATTTAAGAATTGTTTTTAAAGAAAATCTTAAAAGTTTACCGTTTTCCTGTGTAAATAAGACCATTAAATGTAAATAACTTTAATAAAACGTTTATAGCAGTATACAAGATTTCAAACCCTGTACTATAAACCATAATTTTTTTTATTTAAGTACATTTTTCCTTTTTAAAGTTGATTTTTTTTCTATTGTTTTTAGAAAAAAATAAAATAACTGGCAAATATATCTAATAATTGAGCCAAATCTTTTTAAGTTGTGAGTGTTTTGTTTCACCCAGACACACAACACACCTTTCTTCTCATTCCTTACAAGTGAACAGAATTGAACCGTTACATAGGCTTGTATAGTAGAAGGAAGGCCAGAGTTTTTCTTGGGTCAAAAGGGGCTGGGCCCCAAAGTCTTTAGATCTCAGAATTAGAAGATGCCTTCTTTGAGATGGTAATAACATCCAGAGCTGACCATTTGGGAAAGGGCCAGAGTGGGTGAGAAGGTTAGAGATAGGGAAAGAAATGCAAGAGGTTAAAGATAACAGGCCTTATACAAGGTGGGAGAAAGACAGGGGGCTGGGAAGACTTTAGACTACAAGAATGCCCTTCCATTCTAACTGCTTACTTCAAATCCTGGGGCTGGGAGTTGGTGGGGGAAGGGAGCGAGCTCCTTTTTGCTGCAGCCCCCCTCATGGGCCTTATCTCTAAAGCTTCAGAGGAGACCTGAGGAATTTCACTATTAATCCGATTTTTCAAAGGAAGAAATCCAAGCCCCAAGGGTTATGTAACACCTGTGAGCACAGCAAAACTTCCAAGTCCCTATTGCTGACTGCTCATCTTAGATAAGAAACTCAGCTGGAAAACGCTGCTGGTTTGGGAGTCTTGACAGGCTGGTTAGGACTGAGCTGACTTCTAGGGATATGCCAGGCACACTTCTTTGTTTTTGTTTGTGTGCCAGAACTGGAGTATGAGCTCAGGGCAAAATGCTCTTGATTAGCTTTTCCCCCTCAAGGCTGGCACTCCACCAAGTGAGCCACACCTCCACTTCCAGCTTTTTGCTAGCTAAGTTGAGATGAGTCCCCGATTTGTCCCAGCTAGCTTCAAACCTTGATCTGATCAGATCTCGGCCTCCTCAATAGCTAGGGTTACAGGTGTGAGCTACAAGCTCCTGGTACTTGCCTAAGCTACAGCAACCACAGGAAAGAGATTGTTGTCTTCCTTTATCTCAGAAGAGAAACTGAGGCACAGAGACTCATCCGTGTACAAAAAGACTCAAGCCCAGCTGTCTACATTTAGCCAGTCTAGAAGGAATTTACTGGCCAGTTAAGAACAAGAGTCACATTCCAGTGGATTATGTAAATTTCAATATTCAAACCTAGTCAGATATCAATTCTCCTTTTTTATTATTGTTTTGTTTTGCCATTCATTAATTCTTCCTCTCACTTTGAGAAACCCACTGTTGATTTTGTTCCTACCTTTACCATTTGTGACAATCCATTTCCTGCTTGCTCCTGGGAAAAAGGCAGTTTGGAAACACTTGTCCAGATCATAAACTAGAACATACTTAGTTTTTGTCATGTGAGTCAGTATTTTAGAGACTTGCAAACGCTCCTACCCAACCACTTTCACACGCTTATGACACATGCTCAGCATTAGTTCACGAGAAAGCTTTTTTTCAATGGATGTCTTATTAATTAATTATAAGCCTTTGAAAACCCATGGCCCAAACCAGAAACTGGAACACTGGCTACACGAGTGAGAAGTTATCTTTGATGTTCTTTCTGTGTGTGTGTGTGTGTGTGTGTGTGTGTCTGAGCCCTCACATGTGCTTGGCCATACTGGAGCTTGAACTCAGGCTATCTCTTGGCTATTTTGTTTGGGCTCTACCAAACTCAGGCTATCTCTTGGCTATTTTGTTTGGGCTCTACCACTTGAGCCACACCTCTGTTTTTTCCGGCTTTGGGATGGTTAATTGGAGATAAGAGTCTCAGATTTTTCAAACTGGCTAGTTCCAAACTGTGACTCTCAGATCTCAGCCTCCTGAGTGGCTAGGATTGCAGGCATGAGCCAACCATGAGCTCCCAGCTCCCGTCCAGCTTCTAATTACCTCCTTGTCTCAGTTAGCCAGATAGTCTTTGGGATTTTTAATCCACCATCACTTAGAAACCAGAAAATAATTACTATTTTTGACCCCCTAGAATCATCCATTCAGGCCCTTAACATCTTGTTCTGTCCTCCTGCTTCAAGCCCTATATCCTAAATTCAAAGGAAAATGCAATCCCCCAGACATTAAGAAGTTCAAAGGGTTACAAAAGCGAAGGCGCTCTTAAAGGGTTCCCTCTTTGCCCCTTTGTGGTCGCAGGCTGGAGTGCAGCCCTGGAGTGACTCACTTGGGAACTAGAAAGGTGTTAGGTTGAATCACTAAGTCCAGGCAAGCCCAAGGAGCAGGAGAGAGTTTTCCTTGCTAGGACAACAACTCCCCTTTCTACAAGATCAGGAAACAACTAAAGATGCAGGGGCTTGGCTGTGGGAATGGAATGGAAGCATTCCAACCCCGTTAGCCCACCTCTTAGCTTTGCCCAGCCAGGGCACAGTCCCCAAACAGGACCCATGTCAATTTCCTTTCAGAAAGTCAGGCTGGTCTTGAGCACAAGGCACAAATTGGCTTTCACAGCCCATCTAGAGAGCCCCCAGGGGTCTGTGCCACTGTGCAATCTAATTTGTAGATAATAATCAAGATTAGAGAGGGGAGGAGGGGAAGGGGGAAGAGCTTACAGTTTTGGTATAGAAGGGAGGGGGTCATAATGTCTCTGTCATTTACTCCAACACAAGAAGGAAGGGCTGCCCCAAGGGATTTCTGGGATGGTTTTATTCCCGGATGGAATCTATAAAGAGGAAGGAATTGTTATTTATGCTGCCATTTAGAAACAGGGAAGGAGACCAACATTATAAAAGCAGTCATTCAAACTTTAAAGTGAACGAAGTTCTCACAATCCCAGGCTGATCCTTAAGACTACTCCTAGCTTGGAAGATAAGCAGAGTTCTCCAATAGTCTTTACCACAGGCTCTGGCACAAACCTTGGGAAAGAAGACAGGGGAAAAAAGATTTCTTTTAAACTACACGAGGCAACTTTTCTCTGGTGTGTTTACAATAACCTATGATTAGCTCAGTCAATCATCTTTTGGGGGGCCCACATATTAGGGACCCTGAAAAGTTTTTTCCCCAGCCATAAAGACTCCTTTAGGTTAGAAAATGCTGGAAGAGAACTCCCTCAAGCCTATCTGCAAATACAAGACGAAATCTCTCTTTAAAAAAACAAAACAGGGGCCGGGCGCTGGTGGCTCACACCTGTAATCCTAGCTACTCAGGAGGCTGAGATCTGAGGATCGCGGTTCAAAGCCAGCCCAGGCAGGAGAGACCGTGAGACTCCTATCTCCAATAAACCACCAGAAAACCGGAAGTGGCGCTGTAGCTCAAGTGGTAGAGCGCTTGCCTTGAGCTGAAGAGCTGAGGGACAACGTCCAGGACCAGAGTTCAAGCCCCATGACCGACCAAAAAAAAAAAACAAACAGAGGCTAGGAATGTGGTTCAATGGTAGAGTGCTTGCCTAGCATTCATGAAGACCTGGGTTCAATTCCTCAGTACCACATAAACAGAAAATGTCGGAAGTGGTGCTGTGGCTCAAGAGGTAGAGTGTTAGCTTTGAGCAAAAGAAGCTCAGGGACAATGCCCAGGCCTTTAGTTCAAGCCTCAGGATTGGCAAAAACAAAAAACAAAAAAACCCTTGCCAGACACTGGTGACTCATGCCTAAGATCTGAAGACTGTGGTTCAAAGCCAACCTGGGCAGAAAAGTCCCTGTAAGACTCTTACCTCCAACTAAGCATTCAAAAACCTTAAGTGGAGCTATGACTCAAAGTGGTAGATCGCTTGCCTTGTGCAAAAGAGCTCAGGGATAGCACCCAGGCCCTGAGTTCAAGCCACCCTATCAACAAAAAGCAAACAAACAGCAACAAAAACTCATTTTAGGTTATAGATAATTTCAGGCTCCTTTCAAAGTCGGAAAGTAGAAACACAATCAACAGAACCAGGACATGGGACTTGGACTCATTTGATTAAAATAAAGCTAAATCTAGAGTGTGGCTCAATGTTAGCACACTTACCCAGCATGTGTGGGGTCCAGGATTTGTTCCCCAGCATTACAATAAAATAAAGCGAACCTAAAAGGGCATGAGCATTACCAACACTGCAGCATTTGCTTCTTTTGGTTTTGGCTCTTTCAGCCAAACTTTAGAAACAAAATTTCAAAGAAACACCCAATAATGCTAGCTTTATCAAAGTGATGTGAGGTGATGCTAAATGACTCTGAGTGGATTCCTTGCCCTCCCCCCACCCTCAGTTTTATTTAATTCAATATTAGTCTACTCTAAGCTCTTTAGGAAGACTGACTGGGGGTAACAAGTGTTAATGGGATGAGGACCTTCTGAAGCTGAAAGGAATGTTCTTTGTTTTGAAACAATGGCTAGGAACTAGGGCCACAATCTCCAACACTTTCTTCTCATTGTCTCCCATCAGCCCATTAAGGGATAAACCTTCCAGTGTAGTCAGAGATCTGTAAGGGTGGAGAAGGGGCGTGCCTGGAGAAAGCGTTAGCCCTGTAGAAAGGCCCGTTTTCTGCCCCTCTGTTCACCTCATCGGACCCCCACCACAGC